TTGAGCTCACCCTCAACCTCGGTAAAACTTGCTTCATGGTTTCGGACAACGCCCTCCTGGACAAGCTCCTCGAGGATCCAAAGTGGCCGCTAGATGTAAGCCTGCTTTCAGATTGCCACCGCGATTTAGGAGGCGACGCCCTGGACGGGAGTCGGCGCAGGATCCCCATCCAGTTATCCAGGGCTTCGGCTGCCCTCTCGGCCGCACGCAGGCTCCAGAATATTGGCCGCGGAAAAGAAGCCGCCCGGGTGTTCCGGGCTGGCCCAGCGGCCAAAGCGTGTTGGGGCGCGCCCATCCTCGGAGTCAGTAATTCGGCCTTGAGGACCTTGAGAGTTGCGGCAGCCCGCAGCACGGGCTCGCTGCAGCCAGGTTCGTCCTTGGGTTTTTCGTTGCTGTTCAGCGCGGACTGGACTCGTGATCCTTTTGTGCACGTCACGGTGGCTGCGGTCAAAACGTTTGTTTCTGTGTGGTGGCACCGATCGGTCTCCCGTCCGGTTTTCGATTCGGCCCTCTGCGCACGCCGCGTGGCGACGCGAAGAGCTATCGCCGGAGCTGGCCGCCGCTGCCCAGTGCGTAGGTCGCTTGTCTTTCCAGGCCCAGGAGCTCTTCTCCAGGGCCCTCTTCCCTGACCCGGCGGCGTGGTTTTCGCGACTTCTCTCGGATCCCACCTCCTGTTTTATGCATCGTTGCAATTGGCCTGCAGACGGACTGGTGCTGGAGGCCGGGATGCAGGTGTTCACCGACGGTTCGGCCTTCGAGGGCCACATCCCGTCTCTGAGGGCGGCGGGATGGGCTGTGGTTGTTACGGATGGGTGGGGGGGGGTTCGATCATGCATCTGGGGCACGGTCCCCTCGTCCGAGGCGCCGCTCCAGGCGGCCCGGGATGGCGAGGACTACGCGGTCCTCCAGCTGGTGTTGAACGCGGTTGTCTTCCCGGGCTGCCAGCTCCATATAGATTGCGCCGGCACCGTTGATTGCGCCCGAGACCCTAGGTCCGCAGCCGGACCCGACAATCCACGGGCCCATTGGTGGGCCCAAGTTTTTGATAAGCTCGACGGGGTCTCCGTTGTCAAAGTCCCTGCCCATTGCAAGGAAGATGATGTCTTTAATGGCAAGCTTACCCGTTGCCAGTGGCTCGGCAACCGCGCGGCGGACGAGTTCGCCCGCCAGGGGGCTGAACTGAACAGGTGTGCTGCCGCCGACCGTCTTGTAATTCTTGGCTGTCACGAGATTGCCAGGCAGGCTGCTCGATTCGGAGCCCGGCAGGAGGCCCAGATAGCTGATAGCCAAGTTTTTGACAATGTTCCCCTCGACTTTCTAAAGCATGTTGAGCTCGGGCCCTTCCTCCCCGTCGGGGCCCTGGACGAGCTTGCCGAGCTCCGTGCTAAAGATGAGGGTGGTGGATCGTCGCGGTCGTCCATTGTTGTGTGTGGGGCGGGGGAGGATGACGATCGCGAGGGGGCGCCGGCAGGCGCGGTGCTGGGACCCGCCTTGCTAGGCGCCCCTCCGCCGCCTAGCGAAGAGGCGTGGAGCCTGCTCAGGCCCTGGCGTGCCCGCGGCCACGTTTGCCTGGAGGCCCCGGTGACCGGACCGGATGGGTCCCCTCTTGGATCCATAGTTTTCTGCACGAGTTGCGGCTCGGTCGGCCACGCAGGGCCGTCCTGGGGCAGGAGTGCTCTGGTGTCGAATTGCCTTGATGCCCGCACTGAAGGTCGCGAGAGGCAATTGGCTTGGATTTTGCGTGGCAAACACCCGTCCCGAAAGAACGGGCGTGTGGGGGCGGCCGCTGCCCTCTCTGATGCTTCTCGGGAGTTCTTGGCCGCGAAGCTCGGTCTTGATGGCGCACCTCCCCTTGGACCCCCTCCCAGCACTGTTCACGGGTGTGGGGTCGACCTCGTTAGGGGGCTCGCTCTTTTTGGATTCCCCTCCCGCGCCGAGGCAGAGAGCCTCGGGCAGCGGGTCCTTGATAGGAGGAAACGCGAGGCGAGTGCCCCCGAACTTGGAGAGTTCGGCGAGGATTAACTCGTTTGCTTGTTTTTGCATGCCGAATTGGATGGCCTCGGCTGGCTGTGGCGCTCCTCCTCCTCCTCCTCCTCCTACTCCCTCTCCTCCCTCCTAAATTCTTGCCCCTTGCAAAGAATCTCTCCCTGTCGCGCCCCGAGGTCAGTTCTTAGGGCGGTCCAACCGGTTCGCTTGAGATTTCCCCACCATTTATGAATCTGAAATTCAAAAATTGGCAATTAATTGTCCCAGTGCGACCCTACCTAGGAGTTGGAACCCCTAGGAAAACAGCATTAGTAGTAACAATAACGCTAAGCTAAAGCTAAGCTAAAGCTAAGCTAAAGCTAAGCTAAAGCTAAGCTAAAGCTAAGCTAAAACTAAGCTAAAGCTGAGCAACAGCTAAGCTAAAGCTAAGCTAAAGCTAAGCTAAAGCTAAGCTAAAGCTAAGCTAAAGCTAAGCAACAGCTAAGCTAAAGCTAAGCTAGAGCTAAGCTAAAGCTAAGCTAAAGCTAAGCTAAACGCTAAGCGAACAGCTAAGCGAAACGCTAAGCTGCAGCTAAGCTGCAGCTAAGCTAAAGCTAAGCTAAAGCTAAGCTAAAGCTAAAGCTAAGCTTAAGCTAAAGCTAAAGCTCCCAGGAGACTGGGGGAACCGCTCCCAGGGGACTGGGGGAACCGCCCGGGGCGTGTTCCACTGCCCGGCCCCTTTAAGCTAAGAGTGTAAGAACCCTTCTAGGCAGAGCCTAGGTAGGGAACCTCTTCACAGACGGAGAGCGGGTGGTTTTCAAAATGTGGTTCTCGCCTTACCGCGGCGCACATAGGCTTTCATAATTTGGAACAGTTTCACTGATTGAGGGCGGGTCGTTTTCAAAATGTGGCTCTCGCTTTAGCACGGCGCACATTCGTTTCAAGCATTTGCAAGAATTTCATGGATTAGGGGCGGTTCCTTTTCAAAATGTGGCTCTCGCCTTAGCGCGGCGCACATTCGTTTCAAACAGTTGCAAGAGTTTCACTGATTGAGGGCGGGCCGTTTTCAAAATGTGGTTCTCGCCTTAGCGCGGCGCACATTCGTTTTAATATGTTGCACGAGCTGCACGGATGGAGGGCGGGCCGTTTTCACAATGTGGCTCTCGCCTTCGCGCGGTGCACCTTTGTTCTTAGATATTTGCCAGAGCTTCACGGATTGAGGGCGGCTCCTTTCCAACATGTGGCTCTCGCATTAGCGTTGCGCATTTTCCTTCTTACAAATTGCAAGAGTTCCTTTTTCAATATGTGGCTCTCGCCTTAGCGCCGCGCGCATTTGTCTGAACAAATTGCAAGAGTTTCACGGGCTCCCATGTACCAGATTTTTGTTGAAAGGATTCAGGACACGCTGGCGCAACGGTTACGTTGATTCGCTGTTTTGAAGTCCCAGGAATGGCGTTCTGGCACGATTCTGGATCGTCAACACGCAACAGTCAAGTTGATCTGTGGCGTTGGAATCCCGAGAATAATGTGTTAGCATGCTGCAGGGTCTTCAAACGGTTGTCTTCCAACGAGGCAGTTTCCTCAATGGAAATGAACCCTTGTAGGGGCCTATGAAGAGGGAGCTTGGAGGGAAGGTTTATTCCAACATCGTTGATGTCTCTTCGGTTTACACTGGTCCTCATCCTCATCCTCCTCTCCCTCTCCCTCCTCCTCCTTCCCCTACTCCATCCCTCCTGTGGTTAAGACAACCTTGCTATTTCCATAGTTCCCAACAATTTCCATCACGGTTCATAAAAAATGCGGTTATTCCCATAACTTTCATACATTTGTCGGTTCTCCAAACTATCAGCCGTGCCCGACTGGCACCACCACCTCCACCCTTCCGATCGTTTAGAAACCTACGAATGGATTGAAATTGCGGAAATAACTACATTGTTAATGGAAGTTCGATGGGAATTTATGGAAATTATCCCAGTGCGACCCTACCTAGGAGTTGGAACCCCTAGGAAAGCAGCATTAGTAGTAACAGTAACGCTAAGCTAAAGCTAAGCTAAAGCTAAGCTAAAGCTAAGCTAAAGCTAAGCTAAAGCTAAGCTAAAGCTAAGCCACAGCTAAGTCACAGCTAAGCTAACGTTAAGCTAAAGCTAAGCTAAAACTAAGCTAAATCTAAGCTAAAGCTAAGCTAAAGCTAAGCTAAAACTGAACAACAGCTAAGCTAAAGCTAAGCTACAGCTAAGCTAAAGCTAAGCTAAAGCTATGCTAAAGCTAAGCTAAAGCTAAGCTAAAGCTAAGCTACATCTAAGCTACAGCTAAGCTCAAGCTAAGCTAAAGCTAAGCTAAAGCTAAGCTAAACGCTAAGCGAAAAGCTAAGCGAAACGCTAAGCTAAAGCTAAGCTACAGCTAAGCTAAAGCTAAGCTAAAGCTAAGCTAAAGCTAAAGCTAAAGCTAAAGCTCCCAGGGGACTGGGGGGAACCGCGGGGCGGGGACTGGGGGAACCGCCCGGGGCGCTTTACACTGCCCGGCCCCTTTAAGCTAAGAGAGTAAGAACCCTTCTAGGCAGAGCCTAGGTAGGGAACTATGGACATTGCCATGCTTTCTCTCATGTGGTGAAGAAAACCCTGCTCAAGCGCCTGCCGACGCGAAGCGTGACAACACCCCAAACCGCTCAGGCTTCCATCGGGCCTGGCGCCCCTCCGCCTCCTCCGCCTCCGCCTCCTCCTCCTCCTCCTCCTCCTCCTCCTCCTCAGGAAGAGGAGGAGAAAGGAGGAGGACGGAGGAGGAGGACGGAGGAGGAGGAGGAGGGGGAGGAGGAGGAGGAGGAGGAGGAGGAGGAGGAGGAGGAGGAGGGTGGAGGAGGAGGGAGGATGGATGAGGGAGAAGGAAGAAACGGATGGGCGGGGCAGGAGGAGGAGGAGGAGGATGGAGAGGATGCGGACGACGAAAAGGATGAGCAGGAGGAGGAGGAGGAGGAGATGGAGGAGGAGGCGGGAGGAGTAAGAGAAAGAGGAAGACGGGGACGAGGAGGCGCTCGTCAGGCGGTCGACGGCGAGTCGCTCCTCAAAGAGGTGCAGCAGCACCTGAAGGTCAAGACGACGGCCTCCGCCCCAGGGGCCTCCCAGACTTCATGGTATCTGGGCGGGGGTCCTCGTCGTCCTCGTCATCAACGTCGTCCTCGTCCTCGGCGTCCTCGTCTTCCGTCTCCGAGGTCACCCGTGGGGGCGCGAAGATGAACCGCCTGTCGTCTGGGCCTGCGTGCCGGTCTGGTGGCTACGTGCTCGCCGTCGCCGCTCCGTCGCCGCCGTCGCCGCTTCGTTGCCGCCTCGCATAGATTCTCCGTTCTTCTAAGAGAATCGATTCTGCCATCATCCCCCTCCCCCAGACTTGTCGGTACCCTTACATACGATTTTGTCCCATCGATCATTTGCGTGCGAATGCGCAAAATCCCAGGAGGACCAGCATCGCCCCCCCCCCCGTCATCTCTGTCAGATAACATTATATGCGCGCACTCGTTGATCCCAAAGTATCTCATCTATTATCAAGAGTCTCTTGCGAAACAGGACAAAGTCCACACGCTCGCGGTGCGCGTGCATGTCGAGATCCGTCAAAAACCGTTGTTTCGTATGCCTTTCAAGATCCAGGTTCCCGAAAACATTCAAACAGTGGTGGTGCATCATTCCCCAATCAGAGCTTGCCTCTGTAGGGGTCCTAGCGGATTAAAGGTGTAGGTGAGGTGGGTCGCCGATTTCGGTGGCCGGGCCCGGGTGCCCGGGTGCCCGGCGGTGCCCGGGTGCCCGGGTGGCCGGTGAGGTTGGTCGCCGATTCCGGTGGCCGGGCCCGGGTGCCCGGGTGCCCGGGGTGCCCAATAGCCCAATAGCCAATAGCATATAGCCCAATAGCCCTATAGCCCTATAGTTTTATAGCCCCATAGCCCTATAGCCCTATAGCCCTATAGCCCTATAGCCCAATAGCCCTATAGCCCTATAGCCCCATAGCCTTATAGCCCTATAGCCCTATAGCTCTACAGCCTTATAGCCCTATAGCCTTATAGCCCAATAGCCCTATAGCCCTATAGCCTCATAACCTTATAGCTTTATAGCCCTACGGCCCCATAGCCCCAATAAACATCTGATTGGGGTTCTTCTCCAGGGTCATGATTCTTGAATACGAAACGCGCGAGTTGTAACGAATCCTTCTTGGAAAACCTTCTTGAATCCATTGGTTTTGGACATGTTCATCAAATGCGACCAAGCAGGCCTTTGGCGCGCGCGTGTCGAAACCATTCGATCGCACTTGCGCGCTTGCTAGGGGGGCACGATCCCTGTCAACCAATCCTACGCAGGTCACTCGCGCGCGTCGGCTGCGCGCGCATGTCGAAATCGTTCCAGAATTTTCATCACCGACACGTGGGCGCCATCATCGACACGGGCGTGACCAGCATCGGCGCCGTCATTGGCCAGGCCGTCGTCATCGTCATCATCATCGTCACCATCATCGCTACCATCATCATCGTTTCCGTCGTTGTCGACGACACCATGATACTGCGCCCGCCCGAACCACCGACTCGCAGCGAGGCTCCCGAGCGCCAGCGTGGCCTGTGAGACGCGCTAGGAAGCTCCCATCGTTGCGCGCCACCGCGGTCGGGTCGGCTGTGCCAAACTAGCTGGCCGCAGCGCGCGCGAGCATGCGCTTGCCAGCGCGGCCGCAGAGATGCGCCAGCCAGCGCCAAGCACTCATCGCAATCGCCGCCGCATAGGTTTTGCAAACCAAGTTGCGGGTGCGTGGGCGGGCTGATTGTGGGCAGTGGAGTAGACAATTCCAGGCTCAAACTTACATGCAACGCATCGACTGCAACAGAAGGTTGCACCACGTAAAGTGTTTGTCCTTTCTACAAATATTAGGGTCTACCCCTCCCTGGAATTATCGGTTGATTTTTTCGTATTGCAATGCACATATACCTTTGCCCCAGCGTCCATCCTCAATACCAATTCACAGTATCCCAAGCAGGCTGGTATCCGCCCCCCCGCATCCCCTGCAACAAAAACTATGCGCGCGCATTCGTTGATCGCAAATCATAAATGTTCACGGGTCCAGTGCAACATGCGGGACGAAGTGCACACGCGCGCGTCGTCGCGCACGCATGCCGAAATCCTTCAAAAATTGTCGGCTTCGTGAGGACGTCGAAGTCGAGTGCCCAAAAACATATAACAAACACATGGTCTTGCACAAATAATTTCGACACCCACACATTCACATACAAGAAATGCGCTTGCGTTCGGGCTCTTGCAAATTCTTAAGGAAACCTTGTTTGGGGGTGATTCAACATGTTCGCAATTTGCTACCAAACGAGCCTCTCGCACGCGCATGTCGGAATCACTAGAACGCCCTTTGCGCGCGTGCTGTCGCAAGAATCCCTTGCAACAGATGGGAGTCAGTGCGCGCGCGCGCAGTCGCGCGCGCATGCCGGAATCCTTCAAAAACCTGAGGTGCTGCAAGGATCTCTATACAAAACATGTTTTTGCAATATCATTTGTTGTATGCTTGCGTTCGCGCTCCTGCGAAATCTTAAGGGAACCAGTTAGTTTTTTTTTTTCAACATTTCCACTGCACGGGCCCGTCGCGCCGCGCGTCGAAATCATTCGAACGCCCTTGCGCGCGTGCTGGGAGGGCACGGGCTGGGCCAAATAATACCACGCGGGCCACTCGCGCGTCGGCCGCGCGCGCATGTCGAACTCCTTCCAAAACCTTCATCGCCGACGCGAGGGCGCCGTCATCGTCGTCGTCGTGATTAGCATCGGCGCCGTCACTGGCCTTGCCGTCGTCGTTGTCACCATCGTCACCAGCATCGCTACCATCATCATCACGCGTAGTGTTGTCGACGTTGCCATGGTGCCGCGCCCGCCCAAGTCGACGACTCGCACTGAGGCGTCCGCTGGGAAGTGTCCAGCGGTCAGCGCCACCGCGGCTGCGTCGGCAGCGCCAAATTAGCTGGCCGCTGCGCGCGCGAGCATGCGCGGGCTAGCGCGGCCGTAAAGATGCGCCAACCAACTCCAAGCATTCATCGCAATCGCCACCGCATGGGTTTTGCAAACTAACTTGCGGGCGGGTGGGTGGGATGGTTACGCGAGCAGTGGAAGGGGGCACTGCACCGCGAACAGACTTTAATTGCACCGCGCACCTCATCGATTGCACTGCGTGGATTGTTTTCCTTATCCACACAGGAACTAGGATCCACCGCCACCCTGAGGCCGGGACTATTGGTGCACCCTGGGGATGTGTTGTTTACATATGAGGGTACCCCATTTTTCATTCAAACTGTGCTCTCCCACCACCCCAGCCGGTCCAACTTAACCCCCCCCACCCACACACACACCATAGCCTGCACAAAAACATTACGCGCGCTCACTTGTTTATCACAAATTATCCATTGTCCTTTGCGACAAAACGGGGCGATGTGCACACGCGCGAGTCGTCGTGTGCGCTTGCCGAAATCGCTCAAAAAACGCAGTTTCGCATGGATTTCAACATCGGGTGTCCCGAACCATGTAGCAACACAGTGGTTTGCAACAGGACGGTTGAAAAAAAAGGGGTCTGTGCCCGCGTGGCTGCGAATTCTTAAGCAAGCCACTAGCTCTTCAACGTGTTCATCACGTGCATCCGAGCGGGCCCCTCGCGCGCGCATGTCGAAATCCTTCGAACGCACTCGCGCGCGTGCTGGGTGGGAGGGGGCACGATCCTTGTCAAAAAAACCATGCGGGCCACTCGCGCCCGCCAGCCGCGCGCGCATGCTGAAATTTGTCCAGAACCTCCATCACCGACGCATGGACATCATCGCCATCGGCGCGATCAGCATCGGCGCCGTCATTGGCCTTCCCATCATCAGTTTCATCGTCATCGTCGCCGCCAGCATCGCTACAATCATCATCGTGCCTGGTGCTGTCTACTTCCCCATGATACCGCGCCCGTCCGACTCGCAGTGAAGCTCCCGCGCGTAAGCGCGGCCTGCGGAACGCGTCAATGCGCCGGGAAGTCCCCAGCGGTCGCCGCCGCCGCGGCCGCGTCGGTCGCGCCAAATTAGCTGGCCGTTTTGCGCGCGAGCATGCGCGCGCCAAGGTGGCCGCAGTCGCGCGCCAGCCAGCGCCAAGCAGTCACCGCAATCGCTGTCGCATGGCTTTGCGAACCAAGTCGCGGGTGGGTGAATGGGATGACTGCGCGAACATTGGAGTTGACATTTTCAAGTTTGGCAAGGTAAACAATCGTTAGTCCTCTTTTCTAAAAAGAAATAGACTCCCCCCGGATTATCGACACCCCTTTTCGCGTTGCAACTCTTGACGTTTGGCGTATCCACACCAGTACCCGCCCCCTCGTCGCGGCCGCAGCCCGACCGTGACCGCCTGCCGCTGGCGCTTCCGCCTGCGGCCGTAAAAAAAAGAAGTATCCACATATCCAGAAACGATGTACATTAGAGCTGACGGGGGGAGAGAGGAACAAACACGCATAGTCAAACAGCGAGGGAGGCTTGGGAGGCTCTGTTTCTGGTCCAGGTCCATTTGGGGTCAAGGCACTTCGGAGTTGAATCGTTTCACCGTCATGCTTTTTTTATTCGCGATCCTTGAATCTTGTTGGAGACACTCTGGTCGGAGCCACGCCAGTCTTAAAGCGTTGCCCAATATATTCTAGTATGACAGACATCCGCCGAGGATCTCGAGGCGACCTCCACAACGTGCGGCCTCCAACAGGCGTCTGGACAGAGCATTGGATCGCGGCGAAGCACCCGTTGCACCCGCCCATCGAATCGCCCGAACCACATGCAAAAGCAAGCCCAGGCCAGGACATTGCAACTGTCAGGGCATTCGGAAAAGCCACGCAGTGGCAGCAAGCTCTGTCGGTACTACGGGTTATGGTTTTGAAGAAGATGTATTGTAACGTCTTCAGCTACAGCGCCGGAATCAGCGCGTGCGGGAAGGGCCAGCAGTGGCAGCGGGCCCTGGCGCTGCTGAGCGAGATGTGGGAGGCGAAGGTGGAGCCCAACGTCATCTCTACTACATTGCAGGGGCACGTGCGTGCGGGAAGGGCGCAGGCTCAAATGTCTCAAAACCGCCCCGGGCTGGCCCCGGGCCGCCCCGGGCGGCCCAGGCAGGCCCCAGGACCAGGGCCAAGCTGCTGGAGCGCTGCAAGAGCTCGGACACGAAGGCGCGGTCTCGCTGCCGCCGCCCGAGTCGCCGCCGCGTTTGTAGATTTCCGGTACAATCTGCGCCGTTCCTCCGAGAACCATTCCAGAAAGATGTCGTGGACGGAGTCCACGGGTCAGCCCTAGTCAGCTATAGTGCTGGGATCAGCGCGTGCGAGAAGGGCGAGCAGTGGCAGCAGGGCCTGGCGCTGCTGAGCGAGATGCGGGAGGCGAAGCTGGAGCCCAACGTCATCAGCTGCAATGCTGGGATCAGCGCGTGCGCGAAAGGCGAGCAGTGGCAGCGGGCCCTGGCGCTGCTGAGCGAGATGTGGGAGGCGAAGCTGGAGCCTAACGTCATCGTCTATAGTGCTGGGATCAGCGCGTGCGAGAAGGGCGAGCAGTGGCAGCGGGCCCTGGCGCTGCTGAGCGAGATGCGGGAGGCGAAGCTGGAGCCCAACGTCATCAGCTGTAGTGCTGGGATCAGCGCGTGCGCGAAGGGCGAGCAGTGGCAGCGGGCCCTGGCGCTGCTGAGCGAGATGTGGGAGGCGAAGCTGGAGCTAGACGTCATCAGCTATAATGCTGGGATCAGCGCGTGCGAGAAGGGCGAGCAGTGGCAGCGGGCCCTGGCGCTGCTGAGCGAGATGCGGGAGGCGAAGCTGGAGCCCAACGTCATTAGCTATAGTGCTGGGATCAGCGCGTGCGCGAAGGGCGAGCAGTGGCAGCGGGCCCTGGCGCTGCTGAGCGAGATGTGGGAGGCGAAGCTGGAGCCCAACGTCATCAGCTACAGTGCTGGGATCAGTTCGTGCGCGAAAGGCGAGCAGTGGCAGCGGGCCCTGGCGCTGCTGAGCGAGATGCGGGAGGCGAAGCTGGAGCCTAACGTCATCAGCTATAGTGCTTGGATCAGCGCGTGCGCGAAGGGCGAGCAGTGGCAGCGGGCCCTGGGGCTGCTGAGCGAGATGTGGGAGGCGAAGCTGGAGCCCAACGTCATTAGCTATAGTGCTGGGATCAGCGCGTGCGCGAAGGGCGAGCAGTGGCAGCGGGCCCTGGCGCTGCTGAGCGAGATGCGGGAGGCGCAGCTGGAGCCCAACGTTATCAGCTGCTGTAGTGCTGGGATCAGCGTGTGCGAGAAAGGCAAGGAGTGGCAGCGGGCCCTGGCGCTGCTGAGCAAGATGCAGGATGCAAAATTACGGCCCAACACCATCGGGGACAGCGATGAGACCAGTGCTTGCGAGAGTGGCGAGCTGTTGCAGCGGGCTTCGGTACAACTGAATGGGATGCGTGCGACTACGCTTGAACCGAGCGTCATCACTGAGACACGCTCGAACGGCAAAGTAAACCCGAAGAGGCTGATCTGACATTACACGCGAGCGCTGGAAACACAGATGATCCAGCTAGGTGTATCGGACAGGCTCGCAATCGTGTGTGCCCCACAGGAATCCACGATCTCAAGCGTCGTAACGGAAGCAAGCGTACTTATAGCACCAACCATGTACGACGTGGCAGTATAGTTACCACAGCTGAGGTTGCTGTCTCGCAGCAGTGGATTCGCAAACGATCCCCTGGCAACGTAGAGGATACGGCGGGCGTTGGCGCTGTGGGTGGCCTGACCTTCTTCACCGATGTCGTGAAGTCTCACGTTGACGAAAGCGGCACCCTCACCAGGATAGATTTTCGCGAAGTGAAGCCGGGCGTCTCGACTGACCACATGAAGCAGGCTATGGGTGCGCTGTTCTTTCTCAGTTGGACCGTCCGAGAGCGCCCACCACCGATTCCGACGAAGCTCTTCCTTGATTTGCCAGAAGATATACATGAAGAGGTACGTCGCTGCTTTGAGTCACTGGGTGTTGAGATTTGCGTATGGCCAGATATGCCGACATCAGTGGCAGCATCTCCACCTGCGGAGCCCCGGGGCAAGGAGGGCGAGCAGTGACAGCGGGCTTTAGCACTGTTCAGCAAGATGTGAGAATCGAGCCAATAGACGGTCGCCAAAATTTCAGATTCGCCGCGTTAGCCTGCCGCTTCGCTTGAGCAGTTGCTTTGTGTGTTCGCACGAGATAGACACAACTCTGGCATGAGCGCTTTCGAGAAGGGCGAGCTGTGGCAACGGACTCTGGTGATGCTCAGCGAGATGCGGGAGGTGAAGCTGGAGCTAAACGCCATCAGCTACAGCGGTGGGATCAGCGCGTGCGAGAAGGGCGAACAGTGGTAGCGGGCCCTGGCGCTGCTGAGCGGGATGTGGGAGGCGAAGCTTGAGCCCAACGTCATCAGCTACACTGCTGGGATCAGCGCGTGCGAGAAAGGCGAGCAGTGGCAGCGGGTGCTGGCGCTGCTGAGCGAGATGTGGGAGGCGAAGGTGAGGCCCGACGTCAGGCGCTGTGCCGTGGTTGGCGGGGCCGGCCCACGGTCGTCCGGGCCTACCCCGGGCACTGTATGATGGCCTTCTGGGTATTGTGATCGCGCCGGAGTGGTTTAGCCTTCTGCAGTCGCAACAGCACCCTGGACTCATCCCCCTCTTCTGGCAGGTTTGCGTCGTTCCTCGGCAGCTCAGCTCCCCTAGCCAGCACGCGTCGTTGGGACGGCTTGGGCCTGGCGCCCCCTGGCGACTCGCCCGTCGGTCTTCGCGCCTGCTCCCACCCAGTATGAAGGACGCGGCGGCACCTGTGCACGTCATGTCGTCTGTGTGGGTTATGCCTCACGGCATGCACCGAATTTCTCGGCATTTTGTCAGACTGCACGTGCCCGAGCTTCCCAGGACGCCCCCAGCCGACAGCTTCCCGCACAGCCCCGCGGCTGCTTGGTGAGTGGGCCGGCCGGCTTGCGGCGCGTCTTGTAGCTAATCAGCCTTGTTCGCTGCCCCGGACATTTGCTTTCGCCGCATGTGCTCTTCGCTCGTGGCCGCGACCCAAAAAAGTATCCCCACCAGTCCATCCAGAAACGATGCACATGAGAGCTAACGGGGGGAGAGAGGAACAAACACGCATAGTCAAATAGCGAGGGAGGCTTGGGAAACTCCGTGGCCATCTCGAGCCGTCTTGGAGCGGTTTGGGGGCCGTTTGGAGCATCTTGGGAGGCATCTTGAGCCAGCCTGGGCTACCTGAGCCATCTTGGAGGTCATCTCATCTTGGGCTCTGGGGCCGCTCGGGGGCCTCTTGGGGGCCTCTCGGGGTTTCTTGGGGCGCTCTTTGGGCCCACTCGGGGCTTTCTCGGGAACCTTGGAGGCCCTCTTGGGGCCATCTTGGAGGCAATCGATCAAAAGAGGAGGTTCCTGTATCTCCGCCACCCCCCTTCGGGGGCCACTATCTTCGTGAGTGGTGGCAAAAAGTGGCCTTCCCGGGGGCCGAGAAAGGACGCTCTAACTCGTCGCGGCCCCCCCCAGAAGACCTCAGGGAGGGCAAGGGAAGGGTTCCCCTCCCCGAAGGAAAGAGGGGTTGTGGAAGAGGAAAGGGACCCTCCTTAGACCACCTGTCGCCCAAAGGGCTGGTGGGATTTACATGCGATTCCGCCCCATCGTCCATCCTAAATATGAATCCCCACCATCCCAGCCAAGTCAGCATCGCCCCCCCCGCCATCCTTTGCAACACATTCTACGCGCGCACGTTCGTTTATCACAAATCAGTAGTTGTCACGAATCCCTTACAACACATGTGACGAAGTGCACACGCGCGCGTCGTCGCGCGCGTGTACCGAAATCCGTCAAAAACCTTAGGTTTCGTAAGGGTGTCGAAATCGAGTGCCCAAACACACATAAAAGTATCCCGGCAAAGCAACCGAACAGCGATGTGTACAATCATATTTGGAAGCATTCCCCTTAAGATTCAGGTGAGAATCCAGTTGTAGAATTCTGCTGTTCTCGCAGTCGCAGTCGCATTCGCAATGACAGTCGCAGTGGCAACGGCCTTATGACCCAATGGAATCCTAAGGATTCCTAGGGATTCCTAAAGCATCCTTAGGAATCCGTAGGAATCCTTAGGAAACCTTAGGAATCCTGATTATTAGGGATTCCTTTTGGATTCCTAAGGATCCCAAGGGAATCCGAAGGATTCCGAAGGATTCGCCTGCCTCGGCCTCAGCCTCAGCCTGCCTCAGCCTCAGCCTGCCTCAGCCTCAGCCGCAGCCTGTCTCAGCCTCAGCCTGCCTCAGCCTCCGCCTCAGCCTCCGCCTCAGCCTGCCTCGGCTTGCCTCAGCCTCCGCCTCAGCCTGCCTCGGCCTCAGCCTCAGCCTCAGCCTGCCTCAGCCTCAGCCTGCATCCGCCTCAGCCGCAGCTTGCCTCAGCCTCAGCCTCAGCCTGCCTCAGCCGCAGCTTGCCTCAGCCTCAGCCACAGCCTCAGCATCAGCCTCAGCCTGCCTCAGCTTCAGCCTCAGCCTCAGCCTGCCCCGGCTTGCCTCAGCCACAGCCTCAGCATCAGCCTCAGCCTGCCTCAGCCTCAGCCTCAGCCTCAGCCTGCCTCAGCTTCAGCGTCAGCCCCTCAGCCTCAGCCTGCATCAGCCTCAGCCTCAGCCTCAGCCTGCCTCAGCCTCAGCCTCAGCCTCAGCCTCAGCCTGCCTCAGCCTCAGCCTGCATCAGAATCAGCCTCAGCCTGCCTCAGCCGCAGCTTGCCTCAGCTTCAGCCACTGCCTCAGCCTCAGCCTCAGCCTGCCTCAGCCTCAGCCTCAGCCTCAGCCTCAGCCTCAGCCTGCCTCGGCTTGCCTCAGCATCAGCCTCTGCCTGCCTCGGCCTCAGCCTCAGCCTCAGCCTGCCTCAGCTTCAGCGTCAGCCTCTCAGCCTCAGCCTGCATCAGCCTCAGCCTCAGCCTCAGCCTGCCTCAGCCTCAGTCTCAGCCTGCCTCGGCCTCAGCCTGCCTCAGCCTCCTGAGCCTGCCTCGGCCTCAGCCTCAGCCTCAGCCTCAGCCTCAGCCTGCCTCAGCCTCAGCGTCAGCCCCTCAGCCTCAGCCTGCCTCAGCATCAGATAGCATCAGCCTCAGCCTCAGCCTCAGCCTGCCTCGGCTTGCCTCGGCCTCAGCCTCAGCCTGCCTCGGCCTCAGCCTCAGCCTCAGCCTGCCTCAGCCTCAGCGTGCATCCGCCTCAGCCGCAGCTTGCCTCAGCCTCAGCCACAGCCTCAGCCTCAGCCTCAGCCTCAGCCTCAGCTTCAGCCTCAGCCTGCAGCCTCAGCCTGCCTCAGCCTCAGCCCTCAGCCTCAGCCAGCCTCAGCCTCAGCCTGCATCAGCCTCAGCCTCCTCAGCCTCAGCCTCAGCCTGCCTCAGCCTCAGCCTGCCTCAGCCTCAGCTGCCTCAGCAGCTTGCCTCAGCCTGCCTCAGCCTCAGCCTGCCTCAGCCTCAGCGTCAGCCCCTCAGCCTCAGCCTGCCTCAGCATCAGATAGCATCAGCCTCAGCCTCAGCCTCAGCCTGCCTCGGCTTGCCTCGGCCTCAGCCTCAGCCTGCCTCGGCCTCAGCCTCAGCCTCAGCCTGCCTCAGCCTCAGCGCGCATCCGCCTCAGCCGCAGCTTGCCTCAGCCTCAGCCACAGCCTCAGCCTCAGCCTCAGCCTCAGCCTGCCTCAGCTTCAGCCTCAGCCTCAGCCTGCCTCGGCTTGCCTCAGCCTCAGCATCAGCCTGCCTCGGCGTGCCTCAGCCTCAGCCTGCCTCAGCCTCAGCGTCAGCCCGTCAGCCTCAGCCTGCATCAGCCTCAGCCTCAGCCTCAGCCTGCCTCAGCCTCAGTCTCAGCCTGCCTCAGCCTCAGCCTGCCTCAGCCTCAACTTCAGCTCGCCTCGGCCTCAGCCTGCGTCAGCCTCAGCCTCAGCCTGCCTCAGCCTCAGCCTGCCTCAGCCTCAGCCTCAGCCTGCCTCGGCGTGCCTCAGCCTCAGCCTCAGCCTGCCTCGGCCTCAGCCTGCCTCGGCTTCAGCCTGCCTCAGCTCGGGCATTGCAAATATGGCACAGGACTGTGTTCTGGGAACACGAAGATCACGAAGTGGCCCACAGTTGGCTCCAGGCAATCAAAATATTGTACAGGAGTGGTGTTCCGGGAACACGAAGAACACGAAGTGGCTTACAGTTGGCTCCGGGCAGTCAAAATGTGGCCTTGGAATGGTGTTCTGGGAACACGAAGAACACGAAGTGGACTACAGTTGGCTCCGGGCAGTCAAAATGTGGCCTGGGAATGGTGTTGTGGGAAGGCGAAGAAACGAAGTGGCCTACAGTTGGCTCCGCGCATTCAAAATGTGGCCTGGGAATGGTGTTCTGGGAACACGAAGATCACGAAGTTGCCCACAGTTGGCTCCAGGCAATGTGGCCTGGGAGTGGTGTTCTGGGAAAACGAAGAACACGAAGTGGCTTACAGTTGGCTCCGGGCATTCAAGATGTGGCCTGGGAATGGTGCTCTGGGAATGGATTCCTCAGGATTCCTAAGAATTCTTAAGGATTCCTCAGGATTCCTGGGGCTGCATTTTTGTCCCGTTCATTGCCCGGATCCCGCCCAGACCCCCTTGGGGCGTCAAGATGATGTTTTCCGATCCCATTAGAAACCTATCAGTAAAAGCTGTTAGGTAATCACAGGGCTTCGCAACACGGAAATCAATAACGAAAAACATTTACGCGCGTTCTTGCGAATTTAAGAAAACCATTGGTTGTTCAACATGTTCACAACATGCTACCAAGCGGGCTTCGCGCGCGCATGTTGAAATCGTTCAAACGCCCTTGTGCGCGCGCTGGGGTGGCACGATCCGTGTCAAATAACACCATGCGGGCCACTATCGCGAGTCTGCCGCGCGCGCAGTTCGAACTCCTTCCAAAACTTTCATCACCGACGCGAAGGCGCCGTCATCGTCCTCGTCGTGATCAGCATCGGCGCCGTCACTGGCTGCCCCGTCGTCGCAGCCAGCATCGTCACCAGCATCGCTGCTATCATCATCGTGTCTACCGTTGTCGACGCCGCCAAGATACCGCACCCGCCCAAATCGACGATTCGCACTGAAGTGCCTGGTGGGATGTGCCGAGCGGTCAGCGCCACCGCGTTCGCGTCGATCGCGCCAAACTAGCTGACCGCTGCGCGCGCGAGCATGCGCGGGCTAGCGCGGCCGCAGAGATGCACCGACCAACACCGAGCACTCATCGCAATCGTTTCCGCATGGGTTTTGCAAACCTAGTTGCGGGTGGCTGGGTGGGATGATTGCGCGAGCAGTGGAGTTGACAATTTCAAGGTCGGCAGTTGAATTTCACCCACCCAGATTGCACCACATATATTGCATTACGTCGACTACACAACCTGGACTGCACCACGCATGTTGTTCCACTTAGACTGCCCAACATAGATTGCATCACGTATATGTTACGACATATGTTGCGCAATATAACTGACACAACCCACGTCGCACCACATAACTTGCGCCATATTGATTGCACCGCAAACAATTGCACCACCAAGGTTTCACCACATCAGTTGTTCCACACAGATTGCACAGCATATGCTAGACGCACAATGTGTGGGGCCCACGTTGGTTAACACGTATTATCCTAAATTTTGGTCAATCCCAGCAGTTACGCACACGCAGGCCACGCCGTTTTCAAAATTGCGTTCTCGCTTCAGCGCCGTGCGCATTCGTCTTCAGATTTGGCAGCAGCTGCGCGGATGGAAGTTGACTTTTCAAAATAGGGTTGTCGTTTTAGCGCCGCGCACGGTCGCCTTAAAACTTGCAACAACTACAACTCCGGAGGGTTGCACGTGCTCGCTTTGGCACCGCGTACATTCCTCAACACGTTGCAGCAACATTCACGGATGGAAGGCGTTTTTTTCTAAGATCGGGTTCTCGCTTGACACATTCTCACATGTAGTGACCGCGTGCTTGAACAGGCGTAACATTTGAACGGGTGGAGGGCGGCTCTTTTGCACAATCTTCTTCTTCTTCTTCTTCGAGGAGCAGTAAGGACGGAGGAGGAAGAGAATGAGGAGGACGGAGGAGAAGGGAGGATGACAATGAGGAGGCCGGAGGAGGAAGGGGAGGAGGAGGAGGAGGAGGAGGAGGAGGAGGAGGACGACGGAGGAAGAGTAAGGATGAAGAGGGGGGACGAAGAGAAGGAGGAGGAGGATGGAGGAGGAGGCGGAGGAAGTCACCGAATAGGAGGACGGAGGAGGAGGAGGAGGAGAAGGAGGAGGAGGAGGAGGAGGAGGAGCAGGAGGACGACGGACAAATCAGGACGTCCTCAAACTGCGCACCATCGAAAGATCGGCGCGCGGCGCTGTGTGGCGGACTGCTGTCGTGAGACTGACCAAGGTCCCCTCGGTCGGGGTTCTCAGGAAGGCGCTGAAGAGCGTGCTGAGTGAGGATAGCACCTTGCATTCGACCGCGGCGTGATGCATGAGAATGATGATGCTGATGGTGATGCTGCTGCTGCTGATGATTATAATGAGGGTGATGGCGAAGAGGAGGAGGAGGAGGATGATAATGAGGAGGAGGAGGACAACGATGACGACGGTGATGATGATGATGATGCTGCTGCTGCTGCTGCTGATGATGATGATGATGATGATGATGATGATGATGGTGGTAGTGATGATGATGAGGAGGATGATGACGAGGGTGATGATAATGCTGATGATGATAATGATGCTGATGATGATGATGATGTTGATGATGATGAAGATGATGATGACGATGACGATGATGATGTATATGATTGAGATGATGATGTTGCTTCTGATGCTGATGCTGATGCTGCTGCTGTTGCTGCTGATGATGATGATGACGATGCTGATAATGATGATGACGACGACGATCTTGCTGCTGGGCAGGAGGAGGATGACGACGACGACGATGATGATGATGCTGATGATGGTGATGATGATGATGATGATGATGATGAGGTGAAGGGTGATGATGATATGAACGATGATGAGGATGAGAATGATGATGATGATGATGATGATGATGATGATGATGATGATGATCGTGATGATCGTGACGCTGATGCTGATGCTGATGATGATATGGATGCTGATGATGCTGATGATGATGATCGTGATGCTGATGATGATGATACGGATGATGATGATGCTGATGATGATGCTGATGATGATGATGATGATGATGCTATGTTGCTGCTGCTGATGATGATGACGATGCTGATGACGATGTTTATGATGATGAGAATGATGATGAGGATGAGGACGACGAAGAGGAAGAGGATGAGTAGGAAGAGGAGGAGGAGCAGGAGGCGGATAAGGATGATAATGATGAGGAGGACGACACCGATGACGACGACGACGATGGTGATGATGATGATGATGGTGATTCGGGTGATGCTGATGAGGGGGATGATGACGAGGGTGATGATGATGATGGTGATGATGATGATGATGATGATGATCGTGATGCTGATGGTGATGATCGTGATGATGGAAATGATGATGGAAACGATGATGGTGATGACGATTGTGAGGATGGTGAGAATGATGCTGGTGATGATAATGATGATGCTGACGCTGATACTGACGATTTGGATGCTGATTATGATTATGATGGCTATGATGAGGATGAGGACGATAATAGTTATGATGATGATTACCATGATGATGACGATGATGATGATGATGATGATGATGATGATGCTGATGATGATGATGATGATGATGATGATGATGATGATGATGATGATGATGATTACCATGATGATGGTGATGATGATGCTACTGGTGATGCTGATGATGATGATGCGGATGCTGATGATGCCGATGCTGCTGATGTTGATGGTGGTGGGTTTGTTTGTGATGATTGCTATGATGATTATGATGAGGATGAGGATGATAATGAGGATGGTGATGAGGATGATTATGCTGCTGCTGATGACGATGCTGATGATGATGCTGTTGATGATGATGATGATGATGATGATGATGATGATGATGATGATGATGATGATGATGATGATGATGATGATGGGTGATGATGATGATGACGGCGATGATGATGATGATAATGATGATGATGATGCTGATGATGATGCTGATGATGATGATGATGATGCTGATGATGCTGATGATAATGTTGGTGATGATGATGATGGACGGCGACGACGGTGACGGTGACTGTGACGGTGACGGTCTCGAGGAGGAGAAAAAGGCGGAGGTAGGAGTAAGTGGAGGACAGAGGGAGGAAGCTTATCCTCGTCCTTCTCCTCAAGCCAGACCTGCGCGCGAGATGGGTGACTTGTACGCCGCTCGTGCTGCGCCAGACAGCTGCATATCCGCCAGTCCCGACCCCCCGTCCGGGTGTACAGCTTGCGCCCCTCGCCCAGAAAAGCTGCTGACAAGCGGCTCCTTGTCTACTCCTTATCCTTCTCTCCGCCATTACCTTCCTTCTCCTCATTCTCCTCCTCATGCTCTTCCTCCTCCTACTCCGCCTCCTCCTCCCTCCTCCTCCTCCTCCTCCCTCCTCCTCCAGGCTCCTTCTTCACTCCTCACTCCTCACTCTCCTCCTCCTTTTCCCTTCTCCTCCTCCTTCTCTTCCTCCTCCTCCTCCTCTTCCTCCTCTTCCTCCTCTTCCTCCTGTTCCTCCTCCTCCTCCCTCCCTCCCTCCCTCCCTCCCTCCTTTCCTCCTCCCTCCTCCAGCCAGTCCCACCTCGACGTCGCCAGGACCGTTTCCGAATGTACCCTGTATTGTTTATCGGTTGACATTGCTATACACTCAGAGCGCGGCGATCTCACGAGAACCCAGGTGATCCAGGAATTGATCGGACGTTCGAGCCGAGAGAGTGCTTCACTCGGGGGCCGGGGGGGTCTTGCGACACTTGGGGTGCTGCGCGGTGGCACGAAGGAGCCCCCCCCCCCCCCCCCCCAAGAACTCAGGTTCATGTTTGGGGAGTCCCCTGGTGCACGGCCCACCAGTGCCTCCAGCTCTCCATAGGGTCCCAACTTTGCAGGCGCTCGCGCAGATGCTCGCGGCCCACATGGCCGCGGGCACCAGTGGATGGATGGAACACCCTCTGCCAGCGACGTGGACCGCGGGCGCGCTCCTACATTGTTTCGCTGGCAGCCTTTGATCGCTCTCGCCTCGGCTTCTCATTCATGAGCTGTTGATTTTGAGCAGCGCGAATACCTCCCAGCCGATACGGCCTGGGACTCAGTTGGCAGAGCCCCCACCCGCATCCTCCACTGTGCCCCCCCCCCCCTCTCTTCCCACCTCCGTGACACCCCCAGAGGGGAACGTGTTCTCATGGCAAGGGGGCCCATATAACATACAACCGTCCGTGGCAAGCCCGCCAACATCACTTACAAAACTTCTGCTAAGAAGGCGTGCGGTTCAGGTTTGTCCAATGCTATCGCCTCCATCATCGTCAACATATTGCAAGACTTTACCACTTCCAACGAGCAGGAAACTTATGTTTCTTTTGGAGCGGATCTTGAAGACAAGGATTGTTTAGTTTTTACGTTCCTGGCAGGCTGGGTGTGACAACCATTTCGAGGGCTCCCGACTTTGCTCGTCGCCGTCTCCTGGGGCGTAGGGTCGACCCTGAGCGAGAACGTGTTCGAGTCCTGGAGCCCGAACGTTCTCTTACCCTCTCCCAGCATCTCGTTTCTTTGGCCCCAACTCCCGCCAGTGAGGGCGAGGCTGCCGCCGAGGATGAGGTGACGGCCAGTCCTTCCCCGAGCAGGCCAGTCCTTCCCCTTCCTCCCCCGCTCGCTCTGAGCCTCCGCCTCCTCCCCCCCCCCGCCCTTGCCTGTCTGAGGAGCTTCTCTCCCTCGTCAGGTAAAAGCGGGAAGCCGCCCACGCCAGGAAGGCGGCGAGGTTTCTCGCCCGTCGGGCGCCCTGGACAGCGCCGGGGGGGGGCGGGAGGGGTGCTGCAGGGTTCTTTCCGTGCCTCCTCCCCTCAACCTCTTGGGGATCCAGGTTTGGGGGCAGGTCTTCCTATGTCTTCCTTCTTGACCTTTGAGCTGCCCCACGGCGGTGGTGCAAGTGGCATGACGTTAGGTCAAGAGCGCCATCCGCCTGTGCCAGCCAGATCGGTACCGAGCACGCCCAGAGCGAAGCCGTCGTCGAGCGAGATCGAGCCTCCCTCCTCCCCCCTCCCCCCTCCTCCCTCATCATCCTCCTTCTCCCCCTCCCCCTCCCCCTCCTCTTCCTCCTCCTCCTCCTCCTCCTTCTCCTCCTCCTCCTCCTCCTCCCTCCCCCCTCCTCCTCTTCCTCCTTGTCCTTGTCCTCCTCCTCCTCCTCCTCCTCCTCCTCCTCCTCCTCCTCCTCCTCCTCCTCCTCCTCCTCCTCCTCCTCCTCCCCCCCCCCAGCACCAACAGCTGTTGCGATGTGGGGCTCTTGCGTCCACGGGGTCGGGGACACCATTCTACACGGGATGCGCGTCTCGACTTATTTACGAAAAGCACGTCTGTGGGACTCTACTTGGGCTGTAGAAGTCAGGGGTGGCGGCGCGATCCGCTTGTGCTCACGACGACCGATATGAGATGCGCAGCTGTCTAGGCCAGTGCTCGGAGCCATCTTGAACGCGGGCAGAGCCAATGCTGCCTCGGCCCGGCTTTGAGTCACCTGCCGTGATCTTGTCGCGGCTCTGGCGATCACTGCCCAGCGTGCCGGCTAGCTTTTCAAGGATTTGAAGACCGCGGTCGATGAAAAAGGACGCGACTGGGACCTACAATTTTCACCAGCCTGCATGGCGAGGCGGGCTGTTTTCTCGGCCAGGCTGGCATCGGATGTTCGAGCGCTGTGTCTGCAGGGCGCGTCGGCCCAGGTCTCGGAGATCTTTCGGAGGCCCGTTTCGGAGTGGGGTTCTTCGGGTCGGTCGGAGACCTGGCGAAGCCATGAGCAGGCCGGCGGCCACCCTCCGAGGGCCCACGGACCCGGGGGAGGCTGCACGACCACGAGCCCACCTTGCCCGCCGTTTGCTTAACCCGGCTCTGCCAGTCGGAACGGTGCCCCCCTGTCTCACAGAGGCTCCGGGCGTCCTGTTCAAGGTGCGTGGAGACGGGATCGTATGCCCCCCGACCTGGGCAGAGCGGCGGAGACTATGCCTGGTGCCCCTCCTGGGTGGAGCGAAAGGTTTGCTCGCGGTGAATTTCCTGAGCCTGGCCAGTGGCGTGTCGCGAAGACCTTGTTCGACCCCAGTTGGAAGCTGCGAGTCACACCCAATTTGTCCCTGGCAACCCCACATTGAAGGCAGGTCCATTTTCCTTGACGGGTCAGGACTGGAACAGGCGCACCCGTCGCTCAGGGTGGCGGGATGGGGGGTGGTGTTGTATGATTCGGAGCGTCGGTGTGCTGGTGCTTTGCTCGGAGCGGTCCCTCCTCTTCTTGTTGTCGCCGACTCGGCTAGGGACGGCGAGGACTGTGCGATGTATATGGCTCCCCAGCATGTCCTAGGGCAGATCACGGTCCGTGGAGATTGCAAGGGGATGTTCGACTGTTGCCGCTCGCCTCGCTCTGCCACTGGCCCGTCGAGTGTGCGCGCCCCCTTGTGACGGCAGATCCATGCTAGACTGGGGTCTGCTAGTTTCCGGCTCGAGCATGTCAAGGCCCATGCGACGGCCAAGGATGTCGAGCGAGGAATCAGCTCGGAGTTCGACCGAGATGGAAACAGTGCGGCCGACGGTTGTCCTAAAGAGGGTGTTGCCTTCGCGAGATCTGACAAACATATGTGCTGTTCTGAGAAGGTTGTCACCTGGTGGCCAGGCTTGCGTGTCGGTTTTCGACGCAGCTATCGGTTTCGATAGGGTCCGCTGAAACCAGGGGCCATGTCGGCACGGAGTTTTGACGGGGGTGGCTTTGGGCGTGTGCCCCATCTGGGCTGTTTGTCGAGGAGGCTCCCGAAGCGGAAGACCCCGAAGGCAGCTTTCTGCTCCTCCCACGCTTGCTGACCCGCCGCTTGCTGGCGCTGCCGGCCCGCCTCGGAGGACCCAGCTTGGCTCACGAGCAGGCATGTGCAGCCGTGGAGAGCGAGTGGGCGGTGCAACCGTGGAGAGCGCAGTGCCCGGCGGCCTCCCTTCGGTATGCTGCCCCTCCTGCTGGCAGTGTGCGAACACCCCCATGCGGCGCGGTCTCACGGGCAAGTGCAAAGGCCAGCGTGCGATCAGAGGAGGGCCCGTGCTCGTTGTGCATAAGAGGTCGCGCGACGGAGTTCGCCCGACTGCCCATTCTCTTCTGTCTCTCTCTCTCTCTCTCTCTTTCTTTCTCTCTCTCTCTCTCTGTCTCCCTCGGGCCTTGAGGGGGCCCGCCAGGGGCGGCCAGGGATCGGTTCTCCTGGCACTTCGGGGTCGACCCTGTTGGGCCCCCGGGGGAACCGCTACTCCGAGGGTCGTCCCTTTCTCGAAGCAGGCGGCCGCACCACGGCGGGCCTTTGAGTCTGTGTTGCTCGCGCCTGGCCTCCGCTCCCGAGATGAGGCGGAGGTACTCGGCCGCCAAGCCCTGGGGGGGGACAGTGCAGGTGCCCAGGCCGAGCGTACGGCGAGAGCCGACGCTTCGGGCGATGGGCGGTGTGGGGGCAGGGGGGTGCCTCGTCGGTGGGCCCCGGAAGGGGTGGCGCCACCCTGCCAGGGAGCAAACAATTCTCCTTGGATGACCCTCCCACTATGCGCAGTGAGCCTCCTCCTCCCCCCTCCTCCTGCCCCCCTCCCGGTATCATTCCCGGCCCAGCTGTGGCGAGGAGGGCGCCGAGGGCCCGAAAAGGGAAGAGGGAGGAAGATGGAGGAGGAAGAGGAGGAGGGAGGAGGAGGAGGGAGGAGGAAGAGGAGGAGGGAGGAAGAGGAGGGGGGAGGAGGGAGGAAGGAACAAGGGTGAGGAGAAGGAGAACGAAGAGGAGGGGGAGGGGGAGGCGAAGGCCGATCAGGAGGAGAGAGCTTCTGCATGGCCTTGGACTATCCAGGGCCGTCGGTGCTGCCGACGCCCCTCCTAAACGCTCGGGTCTGTGGTCGAGCTTCGTTGGTGGTGGCGGCCCTTGCCTTGCCCCCCCCCCCCTCTCTTGCCTCATCCTCCTGTCCCTCTTTTCCGGGTCGCCCTGCTCTCCGTCGTTCTCCCGCGGGGTGCCCCCCTTGGCACCCAGGTGAGCGACGCAGAAAACGGAGTCGATTGCGCGGACATTCGCGCGCAGGTCTCCTGCGTAGGATGGCGCGTGAGCGCTTCCGACTTCCGATGTAGCGTGCAGCGCTGGCGGCCCGCGTGAGCCCCCGCGTAGGGTCGCTGTTGCCATCGTGCGCAAGACTCTTGCTTTCGTCACTCGGGTGGCCAACTTCTACCGCAGTTTTTTTGCGGTGGTCCGCCATCCCTGGCGGCAGAGCCGCTGCCGTGGAGGGGCAGGGCAGCGCCCTCCGGAGGGCACAGATGCCCACAGCCACGAGCCACTGGGAGGAGCACAAGTGGAGGCGGACTAGGGCAGCGCCCTCCACAGGCACAGGTTCCCAATAACACGAGCCACGAGGAGGAGGAGGAGGAGGAGGAGGAGGAGGAGGAGGAGGAGGAGGCCACCCTGTGATGCCCACAGCCACGAGGCGGAAAAGGAGGCGGACTCGACCACTGGCCCTGTAACGCTCGGGCGACGTCCACCCCGAGCCCCCTGCCGCCACCTGCGAGGAGCCCGCGGCGCCCGCAGAGGCGAAAGTGGACGGCGCCTCCGACTCTGCGCCTCGTCCTGGGCTCGGATGCCCCCTTCCCTGATGGCGACGACGACGACGACCACCACCACCACCACCACCACAACCGCCACAACCGCCACGGCGGCGGCGATAGCGGCGGCGGCGGCGGCGGCTGCAGCGGCTGTAGCGGCGACGGCGACGACCACGACCACTTCAGCCAAAAAGCTGCACTAGAGACCACTTCGTGCTCAGGAGGGGCTCTGGTTGTCGGGCCGCTCCTTAGATCTAGGTCGGGGAATCTCTCCGTGGCCGAGGCCCTCCGTGGCCAAGAAGGCCTCTTCGTTCCTCACCCGGCACTCCTTACGGCAGCACGACGCCTGGACCACCACCGCTTTGGCCACCACAACCGCCACGGCGGCGGCGGCGGCGACGAGGCACCGAGGCTGTGCCGTCCCTGGTCCGCATCCTTCCGTTCCTCCTCCCCGGACCTCGAATGTCGAGGGCCCAGGACGGGGGATACGTCTGATACTGGTAAACATGGTTAACATTAGCAACAAGAAAACACATAAGACGACGACTTGGAGGAGGAGGAGGAGGAGGAGGAGGAGGAGGAGGAAGAGAGGAACTGAGGAGGGGTATGAGGTTGGATGCGTCCTCGAGGCGTCCTGTGCTGGCTTGCTCGATCCTGGTAATCGTTGTCCTGCTCTTGTCCTTCCTCATCTTCCTCCTGCTGTTCGTTCTCGTCCTCCCTATCCTCCTGCTGCTGCTGCTGCTCCTCATCCCCCTCCTTTTGTGCCTCGTCCTCCTTCGATGCACGTTGTCAGCAGCAGGAGTTCTTGGATCTTGCCCTCCTGCGCAGCGTGGTCATCCCATTAGAGTCCCCCGCAGGTCCCCGGACACGTCCGCCGGACACCCTGGACACCCCGGACACGTCCCCCGGACACCCCGGACACCCCAGACACGTCTCCCGGACACGTCCCCCGGACACGTCCCCCGGACACGTCCCCCGGACACGTCCCCCGGACACGTCCCCCGGACACCTCGGACACGTCCCCCGGACATCCCGGACACGTCTCCTGGACACCCCGGACATCCCGGACACGTCCCCCGGACACTCCGGCCGGACACCCCGGACACCCCTGACACGTCCCCCGGACACCCGACACCTTCGTCGTCGTCGTCGTCGTCGTCGTCGTCCTCCTCCTCCTCCTCCTCCTCCTCCTCCTCCTCCCCCTCCTCCTCGTCCTCCTCCTCCTCCTCCTCCTCCTCCTCCTCCTCCTCCTCCTCCTCCTCCTCCTCCTCCTCCTCCTCCCCCTCCTCCTCCTCCTCTTCCTCCCTCTCTTCCTCCTGATCATCATCATCATCATCATCATCATCACCCGTAGCCATTTTGGCTCAAGGCCAAATGGCTTCCATTCCACTGCCTCAGCGGGGTAGGCTCCCATCAGATCGTCCAGTTGTCTTGCCGCCACAATCAGGGGCTAGCGGCCGCCCAAGTGTCCTCGCCATAGTATTTGTTGCTGTGTGCGCCTCCATATTCCATCCGTCGGTCGAGTACCTCCTGACGAAGAGCCACCTCTGCATCAGCTGGGACGGCTTCCATATCGCGCCCCAGGTCGCTGGCGAGAAGCGGCCCACAGCCAGCAACGACTTCAACGACCCCGCGCTGCATAGCGTCTCGCTCCATCTCCCACAACGGCAGAGTACTTCACAATGGCATCCAGTGAAAGTAGCGGCAGCAGCTCCTCCTCAGCATCTAAAGATCGACGCAGACGGCCACGCAAAGAACGAGAACGAGATCGCAGAGACAAGGGCAGAGGTGACGGCAGCCACTCCCGCAGTGATAGAGGTCAACGAAGTGACAAGCATAGATCCGAGCGTCCTCCTTCTCAAGATCGGGACAGACGACGAGCTGAACGTGAACGTGAAGACCACCGTGAACACGAGAAGGGGGCTACACAACGAACTCATCCCCCACGTGCAGGCCGAGCAGGTACAGCCACAGCTACCACACCCACACGCAGAGCAGCGCGCAGCGGAGGACCGTCGGCCGCGACAGCAGCCAGAGCAACCAGTTCAAGAGCCGACCCGAGAGGCGAAGATGCACTACAGCGAGAGGACCCGTGGACAGGGTCTCAGCCTCCACCTGGACCAGCTTCTGCGGCCTCCCACATGCGTGCTGCAGAAGAAGCGGCTACAACACCCGGCACGCCTACTGGAACACCCGCAGGAGTGGTACCAGCGACTCCAGTTGCGGGCGAGGCATTCGGCAGCATCCCTACCCCAGCTGGAGATGGATTCGTGCACGACGACAGCTCGCTGGAGCAGCGCCTCAGCCAGCTCTTCTCCTCCCAGATCGAGTCCGCCACCGCCAGGCTCCAGAACGAGTCCGAGGCCATCATACGCAACGCTCAGCAAGCTCTTCAAGGCGAACTTCAGCTCGTCCTCGGACATGTGCGACAGCATGGCCGCAGGATGGACGTCCTTGACACCTCAGTCCGAGAACTTAGCCAACGTACACACACACACAGTGGAGCAGGAACAACTACAGATGCGGCAAGATGTGGAACGGATTCAATCGCAATTGGCAATGGCGGAAGCTACTTTACCCGCCTTCGACATGGCAGCTCTGGCAGTTTGGGATCGACCTCCAGATCCCCACCTCTACACTATTGGCGCACCATCGGCTATACAACCCGCAGAAGTCAAGCGAGCTCTTGAACCTTGGATCAATGCAGCAGGCGTCTCCACCAACGACATCGAGCTCATCGGCGACGTACCCGCACGGCGTTTCTTCCTCAGAGTCCTCGGTGGACAAGCAGCCACTTCACGCAGTCTTTCACTCGCACGGAATCTCAGAGCAGGAGGTCAGTGGCGTAACTTCTCGGCTCCAAACACAACAGGCGCGCTCACTCCCCTGTACATCAACGCGGACAAGTCTCCTAAAACACTTCGGCGAGAACTACAAACAAAGAGATTGGTCAGACTCCTGGCAGACAAGTACGGCAATCACCACTTCAGAAGGGTCGGAGACGAAGGTATCGTCTCTTGCAGCTCAATTCCCCTTGTGGTTCTCGAGGTTGGAGACAGCGCCAACGCACCCACAAAGCTCAGGTGGAACATCGCAGTCGCCCACCAGATGGGTATCGACAAGGTCACTATCACAGATCAGTTTCAGCAGCTCTTCCAGGCCACAGATACGACGCGGTGGTCTATTTAACACGCGCTGGAGCCCGTGGCTACAACAAGCTAGAGACAGTGGTGGCCAAGTAGTATCGTGGAATGCTCGTGGCCTGTGCTGCTACAAGAATCGCCGCCGCAAGAACAAGCTGCGCAAGCTGGAGAGGTTCATGAAGGCATCCGCTCTCATCATGATCCAGGAGACGCATGGTGTTCGCCAACAGCTTGGAGTCATGGTCGCCTCCTCCCCATACAAGTACAAGGTCTTTCACTCTCAGGCGGAAGAATCATCACAGAGTTCATCAGAATCACCCGATGCTGAGCGCGCTGGCAACGCACGGCGAGGTGGAGTGGCATTCCTAGTGCCGTGGCCTGCGAGTGCTGCAGATACCAGACCGTCTCTCGGATTTGAAGTACTAGTCCCAGGCAGGGTCGCGCAGCTGTCTATCAAGCACCACGAGCTACGCCACCAGATGCGCGTCATGAATGTTCACAACTACAACATTTCCCCGAACGACAAGAATGTTATCAACAGCAGATGGATGGAAAATATTCAATGGGCAAGCAGCAATCATCTTGAGCGAACGTTCATCGCGATAGGTGACTTCAACATCCGTGAGGGCGTTCCGTTGTCATATGATCACCCGATACCTGATCAGGCCCAGCTACGGACACTTCGTACATACCAACCTGCAGAAGCTTTCTGGTGTTCCCTCTTTGACACCATGCAGGAGATCCGCTCGGAGGTGCCAACATATTTCAGCAGACAGCATTACGCCGCATCGGCCATCGATAGACTTTTTGTCAGTACACCAGAGCATTACCTGATCACCACGGACATCCACCTCTCTGTTGCCATGGACCCAGTGGAGATGGCCCATTCACGCTTGAGCGACCACTCCATCATCCACGCCTCCTTCAGAGCCAAGCAGAACATCCCAGAGGAGGCGCAGCGCATCCCAGATGTGGTCTTCACGGACGAGCGTTACAAGACCATACTCGACAGCCTCATCAACGCGAGTGGACTGGAAAGGTTCTCGCCTGTGCTGAAGTGGACGCACATGAAACAGCTCATGCTTGAGGCCGCTCGTCAAACTCGAGATGAGCTTCAGCGGCTACCATATCGACCTGGCGACAAACGTGCACGAGGTGGCCGCGACATTACTCTCCGCAGTATTCCTAGAGCCGTGCGGAAGCAGGACCTACAGCAAGCAGCCCTTCTGGTATCAACCACCGAGGATGGCAAGCGCTTTCTCCACATCGATGAGGGTGGTGTCAGACTCCAGAACGCGGACACCTTTCGCGTCCCCTTCCGCTCACTGCACGATGCGGAACTTGAGGCTATGCAGTTACGTGCTGCCCGAGCTGCACAAGCGGCACAACGAGCTGGAGACCAACCTGCAGCTGAAGCGCATTTTCGTCAACTGCGTGCTGGTCGCCGTAGGGCCTTCCTCTGGAAACCGAAGGGCCGCAGGATGGTGCTGGCAGGTATCCGTCCTGAACGCTCTCTAGAGAACCCAGAGGCCCCTGTCGTTCGAGGCCCCACAGAAGTTCATGAAGCTCTTGCTGCCTACTGGGGGGAAGGTTTTCCGCTACAAATCGGCAGACAAAAACAAAATCGTGGCTCACCTGGACAGAGTCTACCCGTCGGCCCCAGAGGTCCCGATCCCGATCCCGAGTGTTGATGACCTCAGGGCTACCCTCAAACGTGTTCGTCACTCTTCGCCAGGTCCAGATAGGTTACCATATCGGGCATGGATGGTAGCCGAAGAGCAACTGTACACCCTCCACGGCCTGATGCTGCACCTCTTCGCAGGTGACTACGTTCCCGAGGATCTGAACGATTCCCTGTTCGCGTTCCTTCCCAAAGGTT